ATCAATACTTTATTGACTTTCTTACCAAAGTTCAGATTTCTGATACTGGATTGTTTTGATAGAACTTTATCAAAATCATACACCTTCCCTTAGATAGCACACTTGTGTGTCTAAACAATTATGAAGAGGGATGCCGTAATCATAATGGTTAGACCTTTTTGCCACTTCTCACAAGTCCAGGTTAGTGTGCCGGTAAACCACACACGCTCCACTAACGTCTTTGAGAATGCAAATATCACAATGGGCTATCTAGCTAAAATCTACTTAGTGAAAGTGTTTCCTCACCATCATTTTCATGAATCGGAGAGAAACCTTATGACACTTAGATTTAATGGTGTATGTGTTCTTATCCATGTGAATTGTCATAACCATAGTCACACGACAAGGATAATGACAAATCCAAACTCATATGGACTGAACTCAATCTTAACTTCTTGCCACCTGGCAGCTCAAGGGCCTACCATTGCTTCCAAGTTGTTGTGCAACCAATTGAGAACTCTAAGAACTCAACTTTAACTGGAATGGGCACAGACTATGTCAACACGATAGGTTATAAACCTCAAGTTGTGTGCTAGTGAAGAACTTTAGGTTTTATTCTTGATTAGTTCTTGATACTTTCAAGACCTTTAAGACTCCCACTGTCCTCTTGACCTATAAGACTCCCTTGTCAAACATCCAAGAGATAGTGCGGATTCTAATCAAGACAAACACTTCACAAAATTGGCCTTAGTTGGTCCAAAACATCACAACTTACCAATTTCAAATGTATAAGAGTAGAAAACTTTTACTCTTACATTTGACAAGTGTTTTTAAACCTTGTTTAAGACATGTCACTCAAATTACAATCTTGGAGTATGACTCTCAGACTTGTAGTATGACTCATCTTCTTGATTTAACCATTTCAACAATTCAAGTTCCTCTTCTTAGTCATAAGAATGCACTAAGATTTCCTTAGGGAACTAATTTTGATATGGTTTCTTAATCATTAAGATGATCACAAAACTGATACTAAAGTACTCTCCCATCTTTCCAGATTTGAGAAACTTTTATCCTTCTGCCTAGATTGATTCTTCTTATTCGCTTTGCCTTACATTGGAACCTTTTCCAATGTCTCAGAGTTACACTTAAGCTTGTAAGTATAATCATATTTACTGAGCTTTAGTAAACTATGACGAATAGCCTTATATCTTTTGTGGTGGACTTAATCAGTGCACATGACTATGTACTCGATCCCTTAGTCCATTACTTGACTCACACATCCATGTGAACAAGTAGTTAGTCTTAATTTTTCCAATACTTGAAAGTTCTCATTCATCATGCTATACAATTTGCATGATTCCAAGTCCCGGTCCAATTGAGACTTTGGATGATGAGAATCTTTCCTTATTTGGTAAATTTAGACATTACCACAAATGAAGGAATCAATTTCATATTTCCACTCTTGCTATTAATGGAATCATATAAGCAACAATTTTTCCTCAAATGCCATTATAAGGATATTTTAAAATAAATAAAATCAAAAATTTCCTTTTTTTTTAAAACTTTGCGCAAAACTTATCCTTACAATCCATATGAAAAACTTGTTGTTATCTATTCCTAAGCAACATCTCATAACTCCTAAGAAGTAGCTCAAGAATCCGATCTTCAAACTACGCGATAGAAATCCATCTATGCGATCAGATTCAGCATATTCTTTCTTTAAGTTTCTTCACTTTTCTTTGATTCTTAAAACATCACCATGTGACCCAGTCACATCATGTATCAAGAATCTCAGAATAGAAACTTAGCAGAGTTAGATAGTGGACTTTACCTGAAGTAGAGTCAAACTTATTGACTTTAACATCCTTAGGTAAATTTTGGCAGCTTCGCAACGAATGCCCCTTTCTTTGGCAATATAAACATATGGACCCTTTGATAATGGTACACAGGACTACTACAGACTTAGCCTTTTCTCTTTACCATTTGGTCAACCTAGTTGACTATGGTCAATCCCTTTCCTTGGGAAGAGAATGCTTTTTCTGTATTTCCAGTGTCACCATTGTCAATGTCCATAAAGTTTCAGGAAGTTGATCTTAGCAAATATATAAGATCATTAAGGGTCTTGTCATAGTTTGTTTCATAGGTGCTCCAAAAGAACTCACTATGTGACTTAGAAAGTAGTTGAACCAACTTTCTCAAGACTTTGACACCCAACTCTCCCGGCTTGTCAATATGTGACTACATCTCCAAGATGTGACCACACCTAGACCTTGCCTTGCCAATAGGGCTTGAGTAACCTTAAACCTTTCAAGAACTTGTGGGTTAGGGAGAATAATCGGAGGAGGTGAAAGAAGTATGATTTCCAAGGGACATCATCTTCATTTAGGAAAGCTTGTTTCAAGAGATTTGAGAAGATCATAAATGTCTAAACTATACATGTTATGGGAGATATTCAAGATAGTTGATTTAAATTCCTTAATATGACACCCAATATGAAATATTAAGGCTAGGACCCTACAAACTATTTTATAACTTAGAAGAGGGATGCCGTAATCCAAGCTATAAAATATTTGAAGGTAGGTGAATGACGATTCACCAATTTCCACCAAGATAAACGAAATGTATTATTAGGTTTTAATTGGATTTGAAACTCCTATTTATTAGGTTTTAATTGAATTTGAAACTCCTAGATCTTTGAGATTCATTAAACTGTTCAATGGCATGTTTCAATCTCGAGTGTGCCCTTCAGGTTTTGTGACTGGGATGCCGAGGATCACAAAACAAGGTGTGAAGTAACCATGCAAATTACTTGGTACCCTTAAGTGTTTACCCCTCAATCGATGTGCCGGTTAACCACACACGCTCCATCGATACTATGATAAATATTAAGTCACCCTTTACCTACCTTGTTAAGTCCAAGTTAGTGTGCCGGTTAACCACACACGCTCCTCTAACGACTTAGACAAAGTGTAAAGTATAATTTCATGGATTAGCACCTTATTCACATTTTCCTAAGTAACTAAGATTGGGAATTATTAAGAGTTTAGTTACTTAGTATTTATCATTAATACTTTTAATGAAGAGAGAATTATAGTCCTGTCAAACCCGTTCGGCTAATGACCCTCCACCAGTCAAGCAAGCGGTGGGTGAGAGTGGACACCCATTAAGTTGCCATTTTATAGGCAACAACCTTATACCCACCTTATAGATCGGCTTCGTGAATGAGGCGTACTTGCGGTAAGACTGACTTTACTCTTATATATATATATATATATATATATATATATATATATATATATATATATATATATATATATATATATATATATATTATTAACTTATAGTATTATAAAGTATAAGGGTTGAATTTTAACTCTTAAAATTCTAAGGGCTAACTTGGAATTAAAGTATCCATAAGAGAAAACTTTACAAATTCCAAAACTTGAGGGCAAGTTTTGAAACTATTCAAAACTAATTAATTCCATAACTTATGTATTTAAAGTAGTTTTAATCCAAAAACTCTTCAAGTTCCATAACTTGAGAACAAGTTATGGAAGACTTTAAACTAATAAAAGAATTAACTTTTCATTATTTTATAACTTATGAAATTAATTAAGGTTACATTATTTTTTTTTATTTTTTTTTATTTAATGAAGAGACTCTTGGTCCTCCATAACTTGAGAACAAATTATGGAGTCATAACTCCAATTAATTAGAACTAGACTCTTCATTTTTGTAACCTTTGCCAACTTTTATGAGTTTTATGAAACTTAAATGTGACTTTTCATATAACTTGAGGACAAGTTACAAAAACACATTTTAGAATCAACTCTTAGATTAATTTGGATTGAAAACAACTATTTCATTCAACTTTTCTATTAATCTAAGCAACTCATAAGAACAAGATAATTCAAATCAAACTTTTTTATGTAATTAGTCTAACCTTTAAACTAATACAAAACATGAATCTATTGACAATTATCTTTGAAATTGGATTAGCATGAACATTACCACTTCAAAAACAAGTTTATAAGTTCAAAAACATCTTAGGGTAATGTTCCTAGTCCAATTCCAGCCAAAAAAAGTCGAATTTATGCTGTTTGGGGGTCCAACTCGTCGAGTGCATGAACCAACTCGGAGAGTTGGATCGATTTGATCACTTTTTAGGCATGGACTCGCCGAGTCTCCTGATGGACTCGCCGAGTCTGATGATCAGACAGCAACAATTTCGATTTTTTTAAGCAGTTTTGCAAGTGTAACTAGAAAACAAGCCTAGGCTCTGATACCACTGTTGGGTTATGAGCATTCTAACTCTCCTAAGTGTACATGCAACCCTAAATACCTTGGATCTATGTTTTCTCTATTATACATGCAAATAAGAACTTCCAAGGTATTATCCTAATCTAGCATACAAATCAATGAATGTAACAAGATAGAATACATACCTTTTGATGTAGCTTGATGTCTTCAAGCTTTAAGAGATTAGCCCCAATAGTGTGAAAGCCTCAAGTGGAATCACAAATCACCAAAACACCTTGGAAGACTTTAGAGAATATAGATACTTGGTTCTCTCTAGTGAAATTGGCTAGCCCTTTTTAGTGTACCACACTAGTGCCAATTTCACCAACCAAGGACATCTTTATATAGTGTGGAGGATTAGGGTTAAACCCTAATACCCATGACCTTTCATTTCCTAGGATCCATGGGTTAAACACTCCATGGACTATCCATGAAAGCTTAGCCCAACCTAAATGAACTTGGCCCATTCCATATATATAAGAGTCCATATTTAATTAGTTCATTTTGATCACTTAATTAATTATAAATTAATTCTTGATCAATACTAATTAAATAATATGATTCCATAATAATATATTAGAACTTATAATATATTAATATGTAATCATAAACATACTATTCTCAAAAGATTATCCATATAAATTGTGTCGGTGAAGTGCAACCCAAATGGACCATGCCGGGTCGGGTCAAGTACATACCAAATATAGTTATGGACTTAGACATTAATCCAACATATAGTACCTGAAATAATAGACACATTCATCAAAAAAATCTTCATATTCTCATATGAAATTAAATCGAAAAACATATATAGCCTTTACCTTGCATAACGTATGAATAGATTGTGTGCAATAGGTCTAGCTTGTATCATTCCAAATAATTCCAATGTTGGCCTCTATACAAGCCAATAAATTGAGAACTTAATTTTAGCATTATTTTATAATTAATCAAATAAGAAAAAAATAAATACCTTATGCCATATATGAAAGAGAACAAGATAAACAAGATCAGTATCGCCACTTTCAGTTACCTTATTTAGGGTTGTATCTTCTTCCCCAATGCCTAGTAACAGAGGAACCTGGAAAAGTGATATTCAATCATATTATATACTATATCATTCATTTAATTTTGCATATATTGAATTTTTCAACTTCATACATAAGTAATAAATCCAAAACGTGCTTTGAGGAGAGAGGTTAATGATCAACAAGCATAACAGCTAATTTCCTCCTGCTAGTCTGATCTGCATGAGCAACAACTGTAGTATAAGAAATGCTTCTGCACAATTATAACTGAAAATCCCAAAAAGTTAGCCATTGACATTTTTTAGTGTACTTTAATCCTATAAAACTTTGTACAAACCTTATCAAGTAAAATTTCAAGGGGAGTAGCATCAAGAACTATTGATGATACTGTGAGCTTTGAACAAGCCAAGTGCATGATAACCACTTCCTGCAGAATAAGCCTAAAAGAGAATCAATCCACCAATCAAAACTGAAAAATTCATATCATATATGCTATACCATAATGATTAGTGAAGAGAAATACATAGAACTTACTTGGTTCATTCCAAGATAATTTGTTATCCTGAGTGTCAACAAATGTTGGTGGGCATTAACCAATTGACCAATCAGAACTGATGATGTAAGTAACTAAAGAACATATTAAAAGCATTAATGTAATGAAGAATAATTATGGAATTGAATATGTTTAGGTGTTAAAAAAGACCTTGTATTGATGTATTCTAAGTGGAATCCTTGTTTTTGGGCTTCTAACAGCATTTAGAACACGTAATGTTTTACTCATCTCCTGATTGCTCTCACATTAAAATTGGCTGCCAAAGCCAACTGGATATCACTATCGTTAACAAAAATTAGAAAAACTTAAACCTTAAAACCACCACCACCATTTATAATCTTAACATTATCAGTTTCTCTCAACTCTTACAGAAAGCTTAACATTATGGAAAAAGGATGATTACTAGTTTTAGACCAACATATTTTACATGAAAGATTTCACTTGAATTCAGTAAAGTTGTTTCAAGCCTTCAAACATTAAGTTGACAAATCAAATATCTAGATGATTCTTCACCATATCAAATAACAGAAGAGGGCTTGCATGAAAGTGAAAATCATATTTGAATGTGAAGGGGGGGGGGGGTAGTTTAGTAATTTAGAAAGAGAAAGAGTAATGAACTAGCCTTTGGGAAACTTGCTGTGAGGGGGACGGTAAGAGCAGCAAAACTCTATTCTTTCCATTTTCGATGATGTTCTGCCTGATTCCGTTTTAACTGGAGGACCAAAGGTGTCGTCGCCCCAATCCAAATTCAACAAGATTGTGGTGAGTGAGTTATATATATTTTTGTGCTTTAGTTTTCCCTCGCTCCTTTTTGTGCACGTACATTTTTTTGATTGTGGGCACTGTTCTCTATTCCAGGTAAACATGAACTCTTAGAAACTTAATCGTTAGACAAAACTATGGTTGTCCATTATATTTAATCGCCCCAAATCTATATTCACATGTATTCACATATCTGTATCTGTATACTACTCTATTTTGACCAAGAAAGAATACTAAAATTCTTAAAAAATGGTTGAAAAAGACAGGTACAACACAATAACTAATGATCTAAACTCAAATGCTACAAATCTTTTGACCCTATGTCCAAAACAACTACAAAGTTACAAAATATAAATACATGTCAGAACCAAAACCGTCCAACACAGTTGAATCTAAAGATTGTGTACCATGTAACACCCTTCCGTGAGGGATTAGCGAATACATAGTTTCCAGGAGAACAAAACCCCATAATTGTGTGACTAATATGTAAGAGATGGCCTGAGCAGGAATCCAATAACAGAAGAGGGCCTACAGACTTGTTCCTTTTTCACTTAATGAAGAAAGTAAGGCGACTGAAGCTTTCCCTATTAAGACCTAACTTTTTTAGAAGTTTTCTCTCATATACTTCATTTTTCCTTCCATACAACTTCTACCTTGAATTCAAGACTTGTCATCATGTGAGGTTAAAATGTGTACTAGACATGTGAAGCAAAAAAGAACGGAAGATGAAGTTTTAACTTCTCGGGTGCTATTTCTTTATTTGACTCAACCATACGTCATTCTTATGTAACCTAAGAAGATGGAGTGTATATAAACTGGGAAAACTATACAATCGGAAGATTCAGCAATAAAAAGCGTACCTCATCAACCTTCACGATGATATGATCAACATTTTGCCCTAATTCCTCCGCAACAGCAAGTTCGCCTTCGGTTCGAACTATCGGAACGGGTGCATCCATTGTTTCCATTTATTCTTGAGACTATGATCCAATATTGAAAGACTTTTATAATCGTAGATATATTTACCAACGCAAACAAAGCAACAGTGACTGGTTGTAGGTGTGTCGTCGGTGATGTCCGTCGTTGGAGAGAGGAGAAGGGTTTGGAAACAGGTGGGGGGTTTTGTCATGTGAGATAATTATAGAAAAAGTAAAAGAAAATGGTAAAGGAAACTTGGTGGAGAATGAGAGACGAGAAGGTGGAGATGTCGATTAGGGGTTGTTCAACTGGTAGCTTTGATGGTTGTAGTTGTCGATCGGCGCTACAATTGAAAGGAGTTGCAATCGCCAAACCATTTAGTGTGAGGATCGATTTGGAAGGCGGGGGTTTTAAAATTTTGGGAATTTCATTTTCCCTCTAAAGAGACGCGCATTACTTAAACCAAAAATATAAAACGACATTCACAGAGGACGCACAAGTGCCCTCCGTGTTTTTAATTTTTTACATAAGACACTAATTTAATGTCACGCAATAATGTGTGACCTAAATCCTTAAATTTTTTGAAGAGATGACACTTTTTTAATGTCACTCTTTTTTGTGTAACATAAATCAATGAGTATCATGGTTTGCACGTCGTAAAAGGGTCTTTTTCTTGTAGTGTACTAAGGCTAAATCAAGATAAGGGACACGTTTAATTACTCTAAGTACCATTTTACCACTTTACGGCACCTAACTCATCATAGTATGAAACCTTGTCTTGACTCAATCCTACTCTTATTACTAAAAAACAAAGAGAATCAAGAGATTACAAAGTCCTCATGATAACTTTATCCTCGTTTAGTACATTGCGTAACTTTTCGAGTAAGATTTAGGTTTGGAAACACCCCTGGAATGTCCTCTGGAACGAACAGATGCGGAAATGTTTTCCTTATAGACAAATACACGAATTTAATCCATAAAAAAGTTAAGTCAGTTTGTGGGCGCATCTTGCCTCTAAAAAGGACACCCCACGCCTTTCCAACTTTTTGATGACTTTTTCCGAATAATAGCATACTTTTTTAACAGTCATAATTTTCTCGTACAGACTCTGTTTTTGACAAACTTTATATCCCCGAAATCGACTCAGAGTGAACTACAACTTTCTTTAATTAATCATTCATTAAACTTTATATATTTTCCTATGTAATGCTATAAGTATACAAACATATGTATTACGTTACTGAAACATTACCGTTTCCTCACTGAAGTTCACTCTTAACCGTATCTATACAAAATATATAATGTAACTCACAATATGGGATTTTTGGGCCATTACAACAAGTACCAATTGTGTAATTTACTCTGAAAATTATTATAATTTGGAATTCGATAAGATTAACCATTTGAATAATTTTGTTTTAGAAAAACAAACTTTTTTTTGAAAAATAATTTTGGTGGTTTTTGGAATTTTATTACCGAGAAATCTGTATAGTGGTTTAAAAAACAAACTATCATGTTAAAACAAAAGAAATTTATTACTTTGGTTAAACAAAAAATTGGATAATATACATGAATTAATATTTTTTTGGCATTTTGATAGTTTAACACGGTTTGAAAAAATAAATGTTTAATAAAAACTAGAATCGGTAAACATGTTGTGTCGTATTGGGTTCGAGTCGTGTCAAGACATTAAATGGTTTGAGAGGGATTGACCCTAATCCGACCTATTTAATTATTGTGTTGTGTCGTTCAAACCAGTTTATTTTTGTATCGATTTTGTGTCGAGTTTCGGGTTAAGGTTTAGACCTTGTAAATCTATTATTTCATGTCGGGTTGAAACATTTTAAATGTTGGAAAGTAAGAGAGTGGGGTGAAAATGAAAAAGTATAATAGTGGAGTTAGGAAGTGGAATGAAATAATTCATAGAAATTTTAAAAAGCAAAATGAAAATAGTTTGAGTTTGGGAGCAAAGAAGATATGTGAGGATGACTAAAATTAAGTTATTGTAAAATATTGAATTTTAATTTAAATTCTTAAGTTTAGACCACTATAAATCTATAATATATTATTATATTGGAAAAATGACATATATACCCTATTATGTTTCTAGGGTTTATCTATTCAGGCACTTAACTTATTTTGTGGCTTTATAAGAAAACGAAGTCGTGAGCAACCTGTCTTTTGTAATCACCTTCACCTAGTGTTTTAAAAACCGGTTCGAACCGACCGGTTGAACCGGTCGAACCGGGAACCGGAGGTGAGGGCGGTTCGATTTGGACCGGTTTTATAATGATTTCCTGACCGGATTGAACCAGTCGGTTTTGGTAAAAAACCGGTTCCACCGGCTGAATTGAACCGGAATGGACCAAGTTGAACCGGACATTCTTGGATTTTTGTGTTTGTTTTGGTCTTCTTTGTTTGATTTTGACTTCTATAATGATTGTTTTTATATGTTGCATTCTATTTACGTTAGTAATACTAAAAAGATGACAAGTTTTTGTAATCAATGTATGCAGGATAATTAAAAACATATAAAAATATAGAACCGGTTGAACCGGAAAACGTCACTCGACCGTTCAATTAAAAAACCGGTTTTTAAAACATTGCCTTCACCTATTTTAGCAGGTTTCAACGCCACATCAACAAGTTTTGTCCCATTAGCCATGCCATGTCATCGATTACCATTACCCCACCCATACCCAATACCCTTCTACTCTTCCCTACAAGAACTTCACTATGACCATCTCCGATCACCATCTCCGGTTCGAACCACCTGTTTAGATACTTTTTCTATTTCCATTGAATTTCACCTGCCTATGTTTATAAATATCAAGGTCTTGTTGTTTTCTGGTTCGATTATCAGTGCATGGTTCCATCTTCATTCACGATTATAGTTAAGGATTATCATCTTCTTGCAACCTTCTTATATTGCCGCTCCTTCTTGACCAATTTGAAGGCTTCCTCTATGATAGCTTCAATCATACTGCATTGCCTCAGTTATTGCCGCCTCAAGCTAACTCATGCTCTCTTTTCTTATGCCCTGTATTTTTTACGACACCTCCTGCGAGCTTGAAGAGAGAAGTAACTGTGTGACGACACCTCCTTCTTGACCAATTTGAAGGCTTCCTCTGTCATAGCTTCAATCATGCTGCATTGCCTCAGTTATTGCCGCCTCAAGCTAACTCATGCTCTCTTTTCTTATGCCCTGTATCTTTGACGACACCTCCTGCGAGCTTGAAGAGAGAAGTAACTGTGTATCCCCGGAGATGAAAGATTTAACCATGGTTAACGGGAACTGGTGGTCGGGGTTGCTTTCGAGCATGTTGTTGGTGTTTGAATTGAAGACTTTGAGTTCGTCGGAGTGGCTACCGGCGGCAATTTGGGAGGAGTCACCAAGGAAAGTGATGCAGGTGAGTAACACGATGGTGTCGTATCTACATGTCCGCCATGGCCGGAATCTACTGTACACAAACTGGCGGTCGCGGCGGCTACCATGGATGCCGTCACACATGTTTCTAAATTCACGGGTGTTGAGGCGGGCGGTGATGTTTGATGCGCGCATCGAGGCTGCGTTTTGATTCGGGACAGACGTATGGGTGGAGGAGAGAGACAACGGTTCCCGATGTTCTAGAGGAGAACGGAGTGTGTTAATTACGTGTTTTCCTATCACAGTCTTCTGTAGGAAGAAGACGATACTCTCACGCACATGTGGAAGTCTTGAAAGCAAAAATATTTTGGTTTATATTTCTGGATTTGAAGATTAAACCCCTTGATTCTTGCGATTTTCCCTTCTTCAGATTATCCTTTGATTTTCATTATAACAACTTATGGAATTAGCAGGCAGATGAAAACAGGATACGGAGGATAAAAATTATTTTCTTTTCATTGGTGAATCTATTGAATTTATTGTAAAAGAATACGTATGGACAATGGTGAAATTTATTGTAAACGAATGAAATTCAATAGAAATAGAAAAGATATTTATTAGATGTTAGTGTTTGGGTAAACCGATTGACAGGAAGACTGAGAGGAAGAAGATGATGATGGATGCTGGTAGATTGTGTTCTTGGGAGAGAAGGAGATGTGGGTCCAAGGTTAGGAAAAAATAAAAGTCAAAGTGGGAAAATTGGTCAACAAATATCAATATAGCAAGGGGTAATCGGAATCGACCCGACAAAAACGATTTTGTTCCCTCATAAAGCCAAGAAAATAGTTTAGGGTCTTCACGGGTAAACCCTAGAAAGTTCGTAGGGCAAATATGTCATTTTCCCTATTATATTTTATATTTATAAAAATATAAAATTTATTAAAAAAAATGATATATAATTAAACAGGTCATATTCGAGTTGAAAGTTTTAATCCTAACCTTACCGTTTTAACTATTGTGTCATGTCGTTTCAACCCATTTACGTAAATATGTTGAATCTCTTAACCAAACCCACAAATTTCGAGCCGATTCGTGTCGAGTTGTCGTGTCGTGTTAGATTTTGTCGGATCTAACAAAAACCATTCAAAGTTTGATATTTTTTTCTATATCAACTACTTTGAACTACTATATCAAGTTAAGGTTTTCACAATAGAAAAAATTATCGAAATTGACTTGCTTTAGTGGGGAAAAAATGTTCACTCTGTATCAAAATATTACAATAAACTTTGAGAATAATTTTCTGTTATGACAATTTAACATATTATAATATGTTACACATATATAAAAAATTGCGAAACTTTAGTTTTTAAGTTTTTTCATTAAGCATTTTGATTTATAGTGTTTAAACCACAAAAACAAACAAAATATAATAATAATTTTTATGTAGTTTGCCCAAAAATACTATAATAGACTTTGGTCTATAAAAATTATAAATACAAAACCATATAAACTAAAATAAAAATATGTGTTTTATTCAATTCATCATTTTCTTTTCCTTTTCCACTCCTTGCTAAATTAACCTTATTTAGATATTTTCTAGATACATTTTTAATTATAACATAAAAATAAAAATAAAAAGCACATACACAAAGGCAAAGAATCTTGGCTTTATGA